TTTTTCTTTTTTTTTTTTTTTTTTTTGAGACGGAGTTTCACTCTTGTTCCCCAGGCTGGAGTGCAATGGCGCGATCTTGGCTCACAGCAACCTCTGCCTCCTGGGTTCAGGCAATTCTCCTGCCTCAGCCTCCCGAGTAGCTGGGACTACAGGCGTGCACCACCATGCCAGCTAATTTTTGTATTTTTAGTAGAGACGGGGTTTCACCATGTTGACCAGGATGGTCTCGATCTCTTGACCTCGTGATCCACCCGCCTCGGCCTCCCAAAGTGCTGGGATTACAGGCATGAGCCACCGCGCCCGGCCTCTAATTTTTCTAAACATTTTTTAATAGACTATTTAAATTGTAAATCAAGTAGATAACCTATTAGATTCTCATATACCCATCAATAATTACTAGCATTTTGTCAATTTAGTTTCATCTCTTACCTCCATTGCCTTTTCCCTCATATACATACATTTCTGGAGAATTTTAAAACAAATTACAGATATCATATTATTTCACCAATAAATGCTTTTTTCCATATAACCACAATACAATTGTAACACCTACAAAGCTAACAATAATTTATTAGTGTTATTTAATACCAAGCTTTCTTCAAATGTCCTTGATTGTCTTAAAAATGTCATTGTAATCTGGTTTATTCAAATCAGAATCTAAATAAGGTCTACATCTGACATTTGGTTGATAAATATAATTCTTTTACCATTTATTTACCTTTTCCTTCTATTTAAGAAAAAAAATCATGTATTTGTAGAAGAAACCAGGTCATTTGTCCTATTTCTCATACTGGATTTGGCTGTTTCTTCAAGGTGTATTAATTTCCTATAAACTAGTTAGACTTAGAGGCTTGATTAGATTCAGGTTCCATTCTTTTGGCAAGAGATACTTGATAGGTTACAGTATCGTGTACCTCCTGTTTGAGCATTTAGTAAACAGATATTTTCAAGATGACCCACAGGTACTGCAAAGGCTAATCGGTGGATTTGGATATTGTCATCTGATCTATCTGTTGTGAAGTTCCCCATCAGCTTTTTTTCTGATCATTTTAGCATTCATTGGTAGTTAT